CCCCCCCCCCCCCCCCCTCTCGCGACGTTAAACTAATACATAACATACATACATACCTCTCTCCCAGCACCAGTCAACACAGGGCGAAAACCCCGGCCATCCATAACAGAGCCACTAATAAAGCTCTAATGCAGTACGTTTTGTGCAACCCAAAGCTTGGGTTTTTCAATAGCTAATCAGGTCAGGGGATGTCCATGTAATTTCATCACAACAATAAGGTACCCGCCATATTCTATGGTATCCTTGCACGGCTCGCGCTGGAGCAGGCATCAACCTGGGCTCTCCAACAAGTGCAAACCATGACGCATCTTTGGTTTAATCAGGGCACGGAAGCGCCTGTTGTTCGGCTTTTGCTTTACCTTTCATTCGTCAGAGGTTGCATTTCTTATAATCGTTTCAAAATGTTCAAAATCCTGCCTGTATTTCCAATATAGAGAAAAACTCAAGTGTTGCGCCCGAAGGAAGAAGAAAAACTTAAAATAAAGACGGATATCAAACACTTAACCGCAGCAACACTCCTGAGCCTATTAATATCAATCATCATTAAAGAAATATCAAACAGGCAATTCTCCACCTCTCCCTCTCCTCCCTCCGGCCGTTCCAATGAACACTAGCAGTCTCTTCAACGGTGGTCCCACCACAGGCACAGACCCCACGAATCCACTTAATGTAACCAAAAAGTCCCCAAATAGTACGAAGAGACCGTATAATTCGACGCAGAATCCCGTCAGCGGCCAGCGGAAGAGGATTAGCAGGATTCCTAGCACGAAAGTTATGGTTCCTGTGAGTTTTTGGCGGCGAGCAAAGAAGGAGAGGGTTTTGGACGGGCCGAGGATCAAGGGGAGGCCGATTAAGAAAAGGATCTGTGAGGGATTGGTTAGATGTATGTGTTGGGGGTGCTTGATTTTTAGTTCCGGAAGGGCTTGTGTTAGTTGTCGGCACGTACGTTTCCCATGGCGAGGCTGGAAGAGTAATTAGTTAGTGAATCCTTTTATCGTTGTGCGGGAGTGGGTTAGGGGGAAGGGGCATACAGCGATCGATCAAAAAACATCATAATGCCCAAAAAGAGGAATAACGCCCCTATATATTAAAAGGAGGTCTCAGACGGAGTGGATAAAAAATGTCTTTTTTTTTCTCTCTATTTGTGCTCATTTGGGGCTCCAAGAGGTTGATAGTGATGGTTCGTCTGTAATCGCCAGTCGGAATTGGTTGTGACTGGTGGGAAGAAAGGAAGGGAAATCGTAGATATGCTTCACATACCGCCAGAACAAAACACCACCCCAAACTCTACGTTGAAGACATTGCTGTTAATAAATGTGTATCACTGAAGAATAGTAAAACGAGAAGAATCGAAGAAAACTCCCAGAAGTAAAGCAGAACCCAGTCGCTCCAGGATATCAAATACAAGGCAAAATAATCTAATTATAAGAGAACTCACTCTGCATATCTGATAACCACATCGTCGGCATATTGGCGGTTATATTTTTATATTTTCCCTTCGGAAGGGCTACTATCCCTTTTCTTTCCCGCTGCCCGTGGGAGGATAGATAGTTATAGGTAGAGCGTATTCTCAGCTCTTCTTCCGGCGCATAGCACGCTTTGAGCTAATGATGGCAATATATGGTATAAATAACGACCGACGATAGAATAGGGTTAAGAGGAGGTCGGGACTGGACTCGGAAGTTTATTGGACTCGAATGGTGTACCGGGGACTTTCGGTGCGCGCGGGGGGATGGGTAGTCATACGGATAGGCGCGTGGCTTCACATTGATCTCTGAGAATTGTGAGCAACAAGACAACAGGGGATCGGAGGTATATAAATTATTGACTGCTAGGAAACGCTGAATAAAGGAGAGACAGTTTTGGCGTGCAGTGAAAAGGTTGTATTCATGTGAAAGTATCAGACTGCGTTTGCGAAGATAACGTACTGAATGCGGTTCATATGGCGAAATCAATATTAAAACATCAAAGCAGCGAACATGGGAAGTGAGGGTATTGAATTGTATAGCAATTAGAAGCTGTTGAATTAAATTTTTGGGATTATTTATTTTATTTCTTCTGTTATTCGGTTTCTAGAATAAATCGCAGCGCGGCTGCGGCTAAGCCAACTGGGCTATTTGCCAGCAAATGATTGGCCATGGCGCCGAAAATAGCCGCCTCTAGCAACAGCGCCAAATGAAACACAAAAAACTTTGCAATTTTTTCATCTTTGTTTTTCAAACAGTCGCCTGGTGAAATGGACTACAGAATGAAAAAGACTATGTGCCATTGAACCACACTCTTGCCTTAATCCTGTCTTTAAAAATGTGAATCTGAAAATGAAACGTCTTTCTTCATTGTCGAATGAAAATAAGTGGTTGGCAGATCCTATCTGCACTCATAAACAATTGGCTAATTTAAATATTCACATCTTGTCTACTCTTGCATCATAAAGTATACATCTCTTGCAAACCTATTGTTATTCCCCCTTCATCCTTACCAAAGACATTCCTCATTTTCCATCCCTTTTACCATCCCCAACCCAGCCCGCCACGGCCACAGTTGAGTCTATGCCACTGTAACTGCCATCCCCCATGGGACGGCGGTAACGCGTCGGATTTTCTGCATTTATTATCATTTATATGTGCAGGCGGAGATCAAAACTAAAGGTCACGATTAAGCCGGAGCGCCACAAATTTGAACCCCAGCTCGAAAGGGGTGGGGTGGGCTGCGTGGGGCTTGACTTTGATGGCCTAACATCTGATTTTTATTCCGGTCGGATTTCCTCTTGATGGAGAAGAATTTGCTGTCTCTAAAATATATAAATAATATCAGTATAATCAGGAAGAATCGAATATTACCCTTGTCTGTTTTGATGACACTAGACAATCACCACGTACCTTTGGTCCCATCCATAGTGAAATTGAAGAACCATGCGTCCCATTCAGATAAGAAAAAAGTATCCATTAATACCATAAAATCCCCCTACTTCAACACAACATGCGCCCCGCGCACCTCCAAATAACTCTCAGCAACCCCCTGTCCCAACGACCTCACAACCGCAAAAACCTCCTTGTCATGATACCGTAATCGGGTCTTCGGATCCGTATACGGCGCCGGCAGGCCCGTGATATCACAGTATCTCTTCTGCGACGACGGGTGCAGCGAGGGCGCTGACTCAATATTCGTGTATGTTACCGCAGGCCCCATTCCATTCGCCATCACACCTCCCATTTGCGCTAGGGTGCGGAAATTCTTCTCCAGTACCAGGGTTGAGAGACTCTGGGCCGCCTGGGCAATGTTGGGTGGTCGTGATGCCGCACCCACATTTACACCTGCACCTATCGCAGTGGCCGGTGTCACGGGAGTGCCGTCACCAGTACCGTTCTCCGTAGCAGGTGTTGCGGCGGCGGCGGTGGTGCTCGATGGGGCGGCGAACGGGGTTGAGGCACCGGAGTTATTCTGGCTTGCGAGAACTGATGCTTCCTTTCGCGAGGTTTCAGAGAGGATTTGTTTTACGTTTTTGTTACGGCGGGCCGAGGGTTTCCAGTGAGGGTTGCGGAAGGGTCGTGGGATGCGGGCCATGTCGAGCTGGTCAAGGAGTTTCTGGTGGGAATCGTCGGCGGCAGAGGGGCGTGGCAGCATGGTTGTGGGTGTAAATCGGGATTGGATGAACGGACTAGGATAGAGTCGTGTATAGTGGTGGAAACAATCAAAGATTGAAGAAGAAGATGTGAATGTAGAAAGGAAAGAATTGCAGATGGAGATGCGATTGCTTGAGCTGTTGGGTGTTTGTCAGGGTTGCAAACATTCGGATAAACAGGGCTTATCAACAAGTCGACCAACAACCCAGAATCGAGCAGAGGACTAGTAGCGAAGAGAGGAGGGAATTGGAACAAGGCCACTCAGTAAGAGACTGCAACGAGAGTCCTTCTCTCTTCTGGTTGGAGGACATCTCTCTATAGACCACAGACCATTGCCACCATGGTAAAACCTCTCTCAGCTACAATACCTTGGAGTTGCATGCTTGCAGATGCTAACCGCAATCCAGGAGAGCCCCCACGAACACCAGCAAAGTCTTCTACTCTCCCGCATCATCTCTAATGTCGTACGTTTCTATGCCTCCTTCATACGTCACAACGGTCTCTCTACGGCCGGACTGTATGGGGGTATATGATGATGTATCCTAATAATAACAAAAACGCTCCAGGAGAAACTCAACGAAGCGATCATGGTATTGAATAAGAATCTGCAGGTGCGTATATCTATTCATATATATATCCATCTATGAAATAGAAAGGGGTTATGCTAATGCCTGTGAATGAGCAGGAAGTCAACGTGCAGAACATGAACGTCGAGCTTGTCGCGCAGATGTTTAAGAACTACCAGTCCAATGTGCTTTTTCATCTCGAAGGTGTGTGTTTTCCGTCCTATGTTTTTGCTTTCGAGAAGATTTCAGGGCTACGATTAGTTGGTTACTTCTGGGTTTGCTAATGCTTGCTCTTCTGTGTGTGCAGCTACGGAGGAGTTGAAGGACCCGGTATAGCCTATGTCGTTGGAAGTTATGGAGTATTTTATACTCTGGTTCGGTTTCACTATGGCGAAATGAAATTATGTGAATCTAAAAATCAGGCAATGGCTTTACGGAGTTGGGAAGGATGAGATTTGTATTGTTTTTCTTTTTCTTTTTTCTCTGGTAGTGGTTCTCATTCCTAGTCACAGCATAAATATATTTCCCCTGTGGGGTATAAATTTAACTGGAAACGGGCGCAGAGTGTATATAGCATCCACGGGATAATTCATATGGCATATGTATATAATACTTAGTTATTTATTTATTGAATATGACATATATTGAGATGTCGACATTGCTGTTGGATACGTTTGACTTGAATATTTCAGAGTGTCGCCGTATAATTTAAATAGTTATTTTATGCATTTATGGTGGTTCTGCCAACCAAAAAGCAAGAAACCAACTTCAACTGTATTTTTTTATCCATTCGGCTTCACGTCAAACTACCCCAGCCGCCACCGTTAAATCTAACTACTGATTGTAAACCCTACCAGCTCAATTCCTAGGAACCTATCTATGACAATGCGCCCCCATCTCTCTTCTGCAAGCTAGGTTGATCTCCGCCAGACAGCTCTCATCCTCCGCATACCCCCTCCGTCGCCTCATCCATCCCGGTCTCAATGACGATAACTTGTACCCGCATACTTGTCGCCCCGCGAACGGCGGCTGATATTTTTCAGAAAAATGACCCAAAGCCGCCACCTAAGCTTTATCCGGTCCAAGAGCCGCCGTTCAAGGGCTACATGCCCCCTCAGCCAGAGGGCTATGAACAGAGTCGACAGGCAACGAGCTCCAGTGCCATCGTGATTGACAATGGTGCGTATATCTCACTTTTACTGCCATATATGCCATATGTACAATCTAACCCGACTACTTTACTGATATATATATATTGCGTTTCCGTGGCCAGGCTCCTACCTGGTTAAGGCAGGATGGTCCTTTGACAAATCCCCTCGATTCATCATCCCGCCGGTCATGGCCAAGTATCGCGATCGCAAGTTCAACCGGACGTGCCATTTTGTGGGATACGATGCCTACGTCGACGCGACCACGCGCGGCCAGGTGCGGAATGCTTTCGACCCGGGATCAAGTGTCATTGGCAACTGGGATGTCATGGAAGGCGTGCTGGATTATATATTCCTGAAGCTGGGGGTAGACGGGGCGAATGGCGGTGTTGATAGGCCAATTGTTCTAACAGAACCTATTGCTAATCTGGGCTACACGAGGAGAAGTATGCCCCCTGTCCCCCTTCCTTTGGCATAGATATACTTGTCATATGTCGGCTGACGAGCACTAGTGATGAATGAGATTCTGTTCGAATGTTATTCTGCCCCCGCAGTTGCCTACGGTATTGACTCTCTCTTCTCATACCGATACAACCGCGGGACGGACGGGCTCGTGATTTCCTCATCCCACGCTTCCACGCATGTCATCCCCGTTCTCAATTCTAAGGCGCTCTTGTCGAATTCCTCACGGTTGAACTGGGGTGGCCAACAAGCGGCCGACTTCATGATGAAACTATTGAAATTGAAATATCCTACATTCCCGGACCGCATGACGGAGCACCAAATAACGCAATTGGTCCATGAACATTGTTATGTTTCGACTGACTACGATCGGGAGCTATCGAGTTATCTTGATTGGACAGGATTGGAGGACAGGAACCGTGTCATCCAATACCCTTTTACGGAACACGTTGTCGTCGAGAAGACGGAAGAAGAGCTAGCCAGAATCGCAGAGAGGAAAAAAGAAAGCGGTAGACGACTGCAAGAACAAGCTGCGAAGATACGATTGGAGAAGCTGATGAAAAAGGAACAGGAGCTGGAATATTACAAAGACCTACAGCAAGGACTCGCGTCTGAAACCAAGAAGGAAGTAAAGCGTATCCTAGAGGCGGAAGATATGAAGGATGAAGCGCATTTGGAACGCACGATACGTGATCTCGAGAGATCCATTAAAAAATCTCGCAGCAAGGACCTGGGAAATGAGGAGACTGAAGAACAAGAGGAAGCTACCTTCCCGCTGTTAGATGTTCCTGACGAAGAGTTGGACGAGGCCGGCTTAAAAGAGAAGCGTCACCAGCGACTCATGAAATCGAACATCGAAGCAAGACAACGTGCCAAGGCAGAAAAGGAAATGGAAAAGGCGCGTCTGGCCGAGGAAGAGCGGTTGGATAATGAGAAGCGGGAAAACAATTTTGACCAGTGGATCGAAGAGCGGAGGCAGGCTCGCGAGGTATTTAGTGCCCTTACTCCGCATGTTTATACAAGAAACCATTTAGTGACAAATAAAACTCTATAGGCTCTCCTCCAAAAACTGAAAGAAAAAGAACGCCTGAAGGCCGATCTAGGCAACCGCAAATCACTCGCGAGCCAAATGCGCATGAAAACCCTCGCAAACCTCGCCTCCGACACTCCCACCAAGAAGCGCCGGCGTGGCACCGACGACGACACCTTTGGCGCCAATGACGACGACTGGCGCGTCTACCGCACCGTCGCCACAGGACCAGACGCAGCAGGTGCCACCTCCGACGATGACGGCAACGACGAAATCGACATCCCCACCCAACTCCGCGCGATCGAACAGCAGCTCCTGGAGCATGACCCACTCTTCACGGAAAACCACACTCTGGACGCGCAGTCGGACTGGACCAAGAGCCTGATCCACATGTTCCTGCGGGGTCCCTGGCCGTTTGACCCGGAGAGCACGCGCGAGGCGCACCAGCTCCATCTCAACGTGGAGCGCATCCGGGTTCCCGAAACCGTATTTCAGCCGTCGGCGATTGCGGGACTGGATCAGGCGGGTCTTGTGGAGATTGCGGCGGATATTGTTAACCAGCAGCGATTTTCGTCGGGTCAGGAGCGGGCGCGGTTGCTGAGGGATGTATTTATTACGGGCGGCAATTCGCTGTTCAAGGGGTTTGACGAGAGGTTTGCGACAGAGTTCCGGTCGCTGCTGCCGGTGGAGATGGGGCCGGTCCTGAAAGTCAGGAGAGCGGGGAATGCGGTGTTGGATGCGTGGAAGGGTGCGGCGGAGTGGGCTAGTGGCAGTGAGTTTCAGAGTGCGTCGGTTAGTCGGCAGGAATGGTTGGAGAAGGGAGGGGAGTATATTAAGGTATGTTTTATTACATTCCGGGTGTTGCGCTTGCTTTGTGAGTTTGTTGGTTGTTATAGTTGAGAAGCTAACCGTGTGGATGTGATAGGAGCACAATTTGGGGAATGCTTGGAATGCATGGACTTAGTCGTTTATTTTGCGTATTGGATGGTATTTGGAGTATGGGGATGGGATGCAATCAATGGAATGGAATGTAGCTTTAAACACAACGGTGGTAACTATATGAATGAAATGTAATGATACTTCTACGTTGTCATTTCTGAGTCCGTTTCCCTCCCAAGCAGCCGTACTCTCTCAAACAGTCAAACCAGAGAACATGGAATGGGGGTGACGGCCACGGAAGGACAGAAGAGAAATCAAAAGTAATAAAAACAAGTACTTGTTTCCCCCCTCAGTCCATCCATCCAACCTTGCACCGCGATGTCACCGCGATGTGCTCTTTATATCACATCACCTGTTTCCAACGTAAAAACACTCCTTTACGGAATGAAACCCACATACCACTGAACGGGGATTTCGAATCTCACAGGCTTAAGGTGAGTTGAATAGTCGTTAGATGGCGGTTGAAATAGGTGGGGTTAGGAAAGGAGGGGGGTAAAGAGAGCGAGAGAGAGCAAGATAAATAAAGGAAAAAATAAATAGCTGAATAAAGCCAGAGCATCGGTCGAGAAAGTACGACAGAAACAAAAGGATATATTACCACTAAACGCCACAGCAGACGCGCGAAACCGCTCTCTCGCGCACTCGAGAGCTCAACTTAGAAGCCAGCGCTGGAGTTGAGAGCTGGAGGAGGAGACGCGGGGTGATTAGCCCCGATACTAGATACATAGGTACACAGATACACACATGCCTGAGACAGTGAGACAGTGAGACAGGATAGGGGAAAGTGAAACGCAACGGAAAACCTTATAGCAGAGAGAAGAGAACATTTCAGAACAGAAAGATAAACTACCGAGACGGCGGAATTACATAGGATGGGGATACTAGGTAAGTAGGGGAGGGGAGGGTTTAACGGGAACAGATCCCAGGAACAAGGCTAAGGTACTGTCAGATAAAATTAAAGGAAAAGGAGATAATATAATAAATAATAACAATAAGAACAAGGAAGTTAGAAAAAAGACAACGATGAGAAACGGAAAATGGCCATTTTTATGGCGTTCGTATCAGCAGGAGATGGGGTGAGGATAGGAGCAATATGAGACGATTTTGATACGGATGGAGAGGAACAGAACGCGACCGGACCGGGTTCGAACAGAGTAAATCAGAGCAGATGAAGTGAACGGAAAAATAGCCTCCGAACGCCAGGAGGGAATAACAGGGCAAGTCATAAGGGGGGAGACGTGGAGGGGGATGGGGATGGGGATTTTCGGAGCTTGCTGTCTGGTATACCAGTGTATAACAGGACGAATCAGTCATAGGGGGGGAAGGGGCGGGCGGGTATTGGGGATTTTCCCTGTTCTGAGCAACTTGAA